TGAGTAGCTGGGATTACAGGCACGCACCACCATGCCCAGCTAATGTTTTGTATTTTTAGTAGAGACGGGGTTTCACCATGTTGACCAGGATGGTCTCGATCTCTTGACATCGTGATCCACCCGCCTCGGCCTCCCAAAGTGCTGGGATTACAGGCTTGAGCCACCGCGCCCGGCTTTTATTTAGGTTTTAAAACAATCCCATAAGGTCGGTTTGGTCAGTTTTATTTACATTTTACAGAAAAGGAAACAATATTCTCAGAGTCACATAGTAAGTAGAAGAACTACTTACATAAAAAAAGTATATGAAAATGCATAGAAAATAACCTAGGAGATTACTTCTAGGAGATGAAGAGTGGTGAAGAAGAGCTTTCAGGGGTTTTTTGTTTTTTTAAGAGATGGGGTCTCGCTATGTTGCCCATGCTGGAGTGCAGTTGCTATTCACAGACGCGATCCCACTACTGATCAGCACAGGAGTTTTACCTCCTGTTTCCGACCTGGGCAGCTTCACCCCTCCTTAGGCAACCTGGTGGTCCTCTACTCTCGGGAGGTAACCATATTGATGCCAAACTTAGTGCTGACACCCGATCCGCATAGCACACTACAGCCCAGAACTCCTGGACTCAAGCGATCCTCCAGCCTCAGCCTCCCAAGTAACTGGGACTACAGGCACGTGCCACCGCGCCTGGCAAGCTTTTAGTTTTTACACTACTTTTTTTTTTGAGATAGAGTCTCATCTGTCGCCCAAGCTGGAGTAAAGTGGCAAGATCTTGGCTCACTGCAACCTCTGACTTCTGGGTTCAAGCAATTCCCCTGCCTCACCTTTCTGAGTATCTAGGTTCACAGTACACACCACCACACGTGTCTAATTTTTATATTTTTAGTAGAGATGGGGTTTCACCATGTTGGCCAGGCTGGTCTTGAACTCCTGACCTCAAGGGATCCACTTGCCTTGGCCTCCCAAAGTATTGGGATTACAGGTTTGAGTCACCACGCCTGGCCCTCTACTTCTATATTGTTTGGATTTTTAATATAAGCACATAGTTATTTTGTAATTTTGAAAAAAAATTCTCAAAAAAGAAATCTGGTTCTCCTAGGCCTTTAATGTAAAATGTTCTAAGGGATTTTCCTCAGATTTTAAAGGTGAATTTTGACTCCAAACTACATTTCTAGAGTGGAAATTACCCTTTAGCATCATTCACTTAAAATTTGTAGAAAAATTCAAAGGTATCTGGTATGGGATGGTTAGCCTAAAGCAGAGGTTTCCTTGAAAGGCTCATGAGACATGTTTTGTGGCATTTCATTTACTTCTCTTTTCTTTCCTTTTTAAAATTGTTTGTACTACTAATTTTTCCATTTTTCCAATTGTTCACTTTCAACATCTGTATGTATTATTGGAGTAATCGTGTTTTTCTTCTTTCTTGCTCACACTTTAAATTTGCTGTGGATACTCCAAGGGCATTGACAAGCCCCTTTAGTACTCCTGAAGAATGATCTGCTCAATGCAGTGAAGTATAAGTTTGACCTAGACATACTAAAATTAACTGGTCTTTGGATCATGGCCCTTTATTGATTATAGCTAAGATAAATGGTCTTCCAAATTTTTGTATTCTTGAATTATCGGTCTTGTGTTGGTATGTAGTTACAGAATTTTATTATCACCCAGGTGTGGTGGCTTACTCCTGTAATTCCAGCACTTGGGGAGGCCGAGGCAGGTAGATCACCTGGGGGTGAGGAGTTCAAGATCAGCCTAGCCAACTTGGTGAAACCCTGTCTGTACTAAAACTACAAAAATTAGCTGGGTGTGGTGGCACACGCCTTTAATCTCAGCTCTTCTGGATGCTGGGCCAGGAGAATTGCTTGAACCTGGGAGGTAGTTGTAGTGAACCATAGTGCCAGTGCACTCCAGTCTGGGCGACAGAGTGAGACTCCAATACAAGAAAAAAGAAAATAATTTTGTTACCTAGTTTGGGCTATACTTCTAAGCAGTTCAGTTCTGACAAGACTAACTGTATCTTCTGAGACACAATCAGTGTTACATTTTTTTCTAGCTATATTTCTATTAATATCAGAAGAGAATGCCTCCTCTTTACCTACCACTGTCATTTTTTAGTGTTTTTCCCTTTGACTTGGAGTAATGATAAAGATGTTATGAGGAATTTGGTCACCTATAGCAGAAATAAAATGTTCATTTCCTCTGTTGTTTTTGTTCTCTATAGCTTCCCATTGACCGGGGTGGAGGTGAAGGAAAGGCCATGTACATTGACACCGAGGGTACCTTTAGGCCAGAACGGCTGCTAGCAGTGGCTGAGAGGTAGGTTACTGTTCAGATAAGAGAGAATATGGCTACACTTATCACTGTAGTGATTGCCAGGGTTTGGCTGAAGAATGTCTTTTCTATAACCCCACATCCCAAAATTACATATGTGGTTCAAAAGAATGACTTCCTTAGTAGAAAAAGGCATTGATTTTTTTTTGGAGATGGAGTCTCCTTTTTGTCACCCAGGCTAGAGTGCAATGGTATGATCTCAGTTCACTGCTACCTCCGCCTCCCGGATTCAAGCAATTCTCCCGCCACCACACCGGCTAACTTTTTGTATTTTTAGTAGAGACAAGGGTTCGCCATGTTGGCCAGTCTGGCATTAAATTCCTGATCTCAGGTGATCCAGCCGCCTTGGCCTCCCAAAGTGTTGGGGTTATAGGCGTGAGTCACTGTGCCCAGCCAGAAAAAGGCATTCTCTAGTCAACAATCTATGAGACGCTGTCAGACCGGATTAAATAAAAAAATCCAACTGTATGTTTTCTTTCAGAGAAACCCTTTAGAAAGCAAAAGAATATAAAAAGATACTACATGCAAATACTAACCATAAGAGAGCCTGAGTGGCTATACTAATATCAGAAAAAATACACTTAGGCCGGGCGCGGTGGCTCAAGCCTGTAATCCCAGCACTTTGGGAGGCCGAGGCGGGTGGATCACGAGGTCAAGAGATCGAGACCATCCTGGTCAA